CAGTGCTATGTTAGCTTTCATGCTAGTTGCTAGTGAGAACGCTAGCATAGCATCGAGGACACTCACGGTAAATCTTCATCAGTTTGACTAACAACAAGTTTTTAATTTTTCTCTGTGTCTATGTATATGCGTGTACTCCTCCGACTCCTTTTATACTGACAGTATACTTCCTGTTTTATTTTGTTGTCTTTGAGTGTCATATTTAGTTTTGACCTCCTTTCTTTATTGCACTGAGCTCAGTTCAGCCCTTTTGAAAGACAAAAAAATATTTATTATTAACGTTAATGTTCATATGGCTTTTATTATATTTCCTTTATCCCACTGAAGTGCTTTTTGGATGGTCAAATTTCCCAAGTTGTAACATTTTTTGACCAATTCTTTTAAACAAGAATGTAGAAATAACACGGATGCTGCAAGGCTGGTTTATTTTTGCTGGTCGGAATATTAAAACAATGCATTGATAATTGTATATAATTAAGGTTACTATGTACCAGGATTGCTGCTAATAGATTGCTTGTTTAAAGAATGACTCACTTTATTAATTACTCTTGTTTACTCTGCATCAGAGTGCTGGAAAATCTGGATTTCTGCAAACTATTCATGCAGGTGTCTGAGAGGTTCTGTAAGGGCGGTGTAAATACCTCCACTGTGGTGCCAAGTGTTGTTAAATGACCTTCTTGGTTTTTCTAAGATGACCGGGATGATCTTTCAGAGAAGATACTTATCTCTGTGATTCAAATTTAATGGTAATGCACGAGAGGCGCAGACTGCTGCTGCTGACTGCAGGCTGGTAGAGTGCAAAATGGAGGTCTTCACTATCTCTAATCGCTATTGATTTACATGATACCCTCTTCTCTTTGCTCCCACTCTGCACAAATCTGTGTCGGAGCAAGAAAAGACCCGAGTCTCTTGAACGCGTTGGGAGACGCGGTTTGGAAAAACAGCCAGCTATCTTAAAATTCAGCGTTGGATATTGAGGCCTGTCACATCCCGCATGCCGTTTCACTCAGAAATCGCTGAGAGGATTAATTCTGAAGTGAGCGTTTTGAAACGCCAACGATACAGTCGCCCTTGAACATCTCAAACTTATCTCCTTTGTGCCGCACGACTGTGTGAGTCATGTCACCTCACTGACATGGCAGAGCCCTCCCCAGCTCCCCAGGAGGCTTTGACAGGGGCGGGGTTGCCGGGTGGCGGAGGTGGAGGGGAGCAGATCAAGCGCGCTGGAATCACAAGTGACTGGGGAGCAAAAGAAAAGGAGACGAGAGGCTGGAGGATCTGTCAGGGTGCTGAGGAGCGACAGCCAAACAGCAGTTTTCCCACGTCAGCCTGATCAAACTTGTTGACATCTGGAAGGAGATGGAAGACAGACAGAGAGGGAGAAGAAGAGATGAAGGGCAGAGGGAGGAAGCTGCGGAGCAGAGGGTGCCGACATCAGAGAGCTGATTGATGCAGAGCCACCAGGTGAGGGTGAGCTGACTGTAATATTGACTCAGGGATGTCTGTTCTCCCGAGAGCTGCCTCGCACTACGGCATTCAGAGACTCTGCTGCCTTTTCATCCTCGACGTTCAAGCGTTCGACTTCTTTTCAGAAGTCAAAACAACATTTTTAAGAAATGTGTTTTCAGGC